TCAGGCTGCAGAGCCCAGGAGTAGATGGGAGGTTTGTTCTCTCAAGACGGTAAAACAGCAGCTCTGAATCAGGCTAATCGGGCACAGTTGATGGCCAGGGTACTTTGTGTAAGCATAGAGAGTAATGGAACATTTAAACACTGAATGTCAGGGATTCCTACCTTCTTCTTCTACCTGATTCCTGGAAGTTAGAACCAACCTTTGTCCTCCAGGAAAAAGCCTAGAAGACACTTCTACAGAAAATTAACTGGCCCTCAAGGAAAGCCCTAAAGATGCTGCCATTGGGAGTTTCATAAACAACACAGCCCAGCCAGATCCCTCCCCTCTAAATGTAGCTGTGGGGCCCAGCTGGTGTGGCTCAGTGGTTGAGTGTCGACCTATGAACCAAGAGGTCACGGTTTGATTCCCAGTCAGGGCACATGCTTGGGCTGCAGGATCGATCCCCAGTGTGGGGCGTGCAGAAGGCAGCTGATCAATGATTATCTCCATCATTTATGTTTCTATCTCTCCCTCTCCCTTCCTCTCTCTGAAATCAATAAAAATATATTTTAAAAATAATAAATGTGGGTGTGGGTAGGCATAACCTATGTGCTGACCAACCCACTCTACATGCTTCCACTCTCAAATAAGGGCAGCCAGGCAAGCAGCAGGAGCTATCTGAGGAGAGCTCTCATATGAAAACAAACCCGAACAAACAGAAAATGCATCAAGACACAGAGAAAAGACCATGTGAAGACATGGGGGGAAAGACAGCCATTCACAAGTCAGCAAAAAGTCCTTAGAAGTAACCGACCCAGCTGCCACCTTGATGTCAGACTTCTAATCTTCAGAACTGTGGGAAAATAAATTTCTGTTGTTTAAGCCACACACACACACACACACATACACACACGCAACAGAAATTTTAAAGGGAGAAGAAAACAACTGAAAAATCAAAACTATCATTAATACATGCAGTTGAGGAGCTACAACTATGAAACAAAAACTGAACGCTATGTATTTTTTAAACGATAATTTAAAGGGGGGGAAGCTTTTGGAAAATTAAAAATATGATAGCAGAAATAAAAAGAACTCAATAAAATGACTAGAAGATAACATCTTTTCTAAAAAAAAAAAAAAAAAAAGATGAGAAACAGAAAAGAGTAAATAAGAAAATTAAAGTGCCAATCCAGAGGATCCCACATCCAAACAATGAATTCCAGAAAGAGTAAACAGGACATAAAAGAGGGAAGACATATCAAAATAGTTCAAGGGCATTTCCCAGAGCTGATTCCTCATTGAAGTGCCCAGCAGGATGGATAAAAATGGACTAAAGCAAAGGCCCATTATCATAAAATTTCAGAACACTGGGAACAAAGAGAAATCCTACATATTTCCAGAGAGAGAGAAAAAAAAAACCAAGCAATTGAGGTCTCAAATAATTCCCTACCCATACACCCCTTCTCAGGAAGTTATTGGAGGGGGTGCTCCACCAAATCGACAGTGAATCAAGAAAGAGGAGGACTTTGGATACAGCAAACAGTACCTCCAGCTTAAGAGGGAGAAGCCAGCTGTGCTCCAAATGCCCAGGGCAAGGGGTCCAGGACGGAGGGTAGAAAATTCTCCAAGGAGATGAATCAACAGAATACCTAATGTGCCTGAATATATGAAGGAGATTTAAAGCACTGGGGAAGAGTTTGGGGTTGAAATAGTAATAATACAAAACTAAAAAAAAAAAAAAAAGCAAGGCAATTATTAATCCCAGGGAAAACACAAAGTGGCGCAGGGAAGAAGAAGTGATCATCATCAATCCTTCCTAGTTCAAGGCTCCTCTGTAAACAGGGTTAATACAATCAGAGGAAAGGGCTTTGGCCAAAATTATGCTATATCTACACTGGGAGTAGCAGTGGGGACAGAAAGGGTGAATGTGTTGTGGGGAGGTGTGGGAGGATAGACAAGAGTTAAGACTTCATCTTCCTTAATGGGAAGTCATTAGATAATTTCTCCAGCTCCTAAGTCAGAGAGCAGCAAGACCTTGTGCTATTTAGAAATTTGGATGAAAAACAAAACAAGAAAATGTGCCAAAAGAGCTTAAAGCGAGAGCCACTGGTGAGGAGAGAATGAAGAAGAAGGGGACAGGAGACTGCTGGAGTTGTTTTGGTAGCAAATATTTGACTCTTTATGTTCATGTTTTTACTTTTATATAACTATTACAAATAAAATGATATATGTGCATAAGTTTTTTGAATTAAAAAATACCGTGAAACATTTGGTTTACCAGGCTACTCTATTTCTAAAATTTCTTATTATTAAACTGTAGATAAATAAAAGTGTTTTATTAGATACTAACCATTATATTTGAAAAAGTATAAAAGAATTTGTTTTCATATTAAATTATTAGTGCATTAGGTCTACGTACTAATACTCTACCAAGTATTTTTGACCAATTCCACTTCACAGCTCTTGTGATATGGAGTACTCACAAGTTCTAGCGGGCTGAGACGTGCACTGGAAATGGGCCTGGAATCAGATGACTCAAAATTGGATGCATGGAGGCTAGCACAGGAGATGGAACAGAAATATTAGTTTGTGAAGAATCATTTCTTTTATTTCTAGTTTATATTAGTTAACTCTAGCCCAAAACTAAAGCATTCAATGCCAAAGTCTTGAGATATTTTAACAAATCATAGTACTTAACACATTTTATTCATAAGTCTTTTCATTGCATTGAGAGAATTAAAAATACTGAATAATGAAAAGAAATGCATATGATGATTTTTAAAAGCTTTGTTCACATTGCTTTCTAAAACACACACGACAACCACTATTAACATTGCAAGCCAACTTCGTGGACCCAAGGCCTAAAATTATCTTTGAGAATCCTGAACAGATACAAGAGATATAATTGGTATTTTTTGCAGAAGTCAGAGGGAACGTGCCATCTCGTGGCTTACATATCTGGATGTACAGGAAAGAGAAATGTCATATACCTGAAGCAGGAAGGGGGTCTATTTTCTGGTGTCCTTGAAGAGGCAGGTCCAAATAGTTTTCTTTGGTCTTCCTGTGGCGTGAATGGTCTTTGGGTCCCAACTGTTCTTAATGCATTTCGTGCTTCACTTATGATTTCTGCGCTGGTCTTCTGCTTGGCCACTGAATATATGTGATTGAGGAAAGGATATGCCGGGAAGAGACCCAGAATGAAAGCTAAGCCTGGAGAGAAAGAGGACAAGTCATGAAAGAAGATGGACTAAAAAGAGAAAATGAGCCTGGCCAGCATGGCTCAGTGGTTGAGCGTCAACCTCTGAACCAGGAGGTCATGGTTTGATTCCCTGTCGGGGCACACACCCGGGTTGCCGGCTCAATCCCCAGTAGGGAGAGAGCAGGAGGAAGCCGATCAATGATTCTCTCATCATTGATGTTTCAATATCTCTCCCCCTCTTCCTTCCTCTCTGAAATTAATAAAAATATATACATTTAAAAAAAAGAGAGAGAAAGCGAAAAAATGATCTATCCTCTACCAGCCCCCCCAAAATACTGGAGGGTTCTGTTAAATTTTTAAACTAAATTTTCCTTTTCTTTCCTACTGCTCTCCACACAAAATGCTAGCATTAAGATTAAATTTAGATAGATAGGGTCTATTTCCAAACTATATTTGCTTTTATAAATATAATTTGTAAACTCAGAGAAAGGTTCAACCCCACATTTGTCCATACCTTTGAATGGATTGATCCAAATCACTTTCAGTGTGAGATAGTATTCTAGATTAATAAAAGCCAAACATCAGTTTCAAACTACCCCTTCTCAGGCCACCTAACGTCAGTTAAAGGGCTAAAGTCATAGACAAGGGTTTTGAGAATGAAGATTCTTCTTTTTTTTTGTTTTATTTAATCCTCACCTGAGGATATTTTTCCATTACTTTTACTTTTTTTTTTAGAGAAAGTGGAAGGGAAAAAGGGAGGGAGAGAGGGAGAGAGGGAAGGAGAGAGAGAGAAGAGAGAGAGAGAGAGGGAATCAGGAACATAAGAGAGAGACATCAATTGGTTGCCTCCTGCACACTCCCCAACAGAGACCAGGGGTTGACCCTGCAACCCAGGTACATGCCCTTGACCAGGAATCGAACCTGAGACCCTTCAGTGTGCAGGATGACTCTCTAACCACTAAACCACAGAGACCAGGGCTAGGTTTGTTTGTTTTTGCAAGGCGCATTACAATAAGAAATTACACCTCTTAGTAAGAGAAGCTTCCGTACAATAAACAAGTTTCTTCCAGAATCCAAATCAGATTTGTGACTCTCTTGGCCCCACATGTCACCAATAAGTCTGGCAACAACCAAAGGTGCTCTTTTTCAACAAACCTAATAAAGATGAAAGGGCTTTGGATAAATAATAATGAACTATCATTCCTGACTAAGGTTCTTCCTGGCTGTACTAGGCTGCACTGAAAAGTATACTTTTTCATACAATAATGAAGCAGAACATTTACTCAAGTCACATTCTAGGAAGTCTGTAAATTATTTGGGCATACAGGAGTTAGGCTGACCAAATAGTGTTGGAAACAATGCAAATAATACTTAAAATTTTTCTGTCTCTAAATTTTTACCACAAATTCTACCACAACTTTCTCACCTTTCTTCTTTCTTCCCTCCTAAATCTCATTTTAACTGTATACTGTGAAGAGCTGTTTTAATAATGTAAGGTCTGTACAGCTAACCAGTTATTATGTTAATATTAATATATTATTAACCAAATCAAACATGAAAATGTTCAATGACAGGGAACTGAGTTAGAAGTAAATTTGGGGGGCGGGGAGGAGATTTTTTCCTTTATTTGTTAAATTAAAAATTCTTATCATAGATGGTTTTTGCCGACTTAAAATAAACCCAATTACTCAGAGTTAAAAAGAAATCTTGCCTCTTTAAAGTATTTCACAATAATACCACAGAAATTTTAACTTTACAAAAGTTTTCCTGAGAAATTAAACAAATCCATTCAGCTAGAACTGATTAACTGTTTCCCATGTGCAAAGCCCTCTGCTTGGATCTCTGGGAACACAGATGGGAATAAATACTATCTTCACTCTCGGGCAAGAAGGACCACTAATGCTAGTTAAACATTTATTTTAATACCAAGCACTATGCTAAGTACTCTTGAGTACATCATCTCATGTAATCCCCACAACACTTCTGTGAGGTGGATAGAGTCTTAAGCAATAAAAGAAAAAAAACAAGCTATGACATATGCCCAGGGATGATATTCAAACTACTACCCGCTAGGTGGGGTAGTAGGAGGTGGGGCATCAGAGGCCTTGGGCTGCAGCTGTTTACACACCACCGCAGAGACACGCCATTATTTTCACAACTGGAGTGGCTTCTTGGTGGTTAGCAGCTGAGTATCAGCCCTATATGTATTCAAATGATTTTGAACTGATGGGGCAATTAAAAAAACAACAACACACTATGTGATTACAAAAGAGGAGGGGGCTTCTGATTGGGAGAAGGTGGCAGGTAGGCTTCTTGGAGGAGGTGATGCTTGATCTGGGTTCTGGGATCATGGGCTGATTTTGAGCAAGTGGCACTGGCTGGCATTGGGGCTGGAGTAGAGAAGGAATTTCTGTCAGTGAGTGAGCCACGGCAGAGTGCCAGGAACGCATGGGTGTGTGATGAATGAGGAGCAGCTCTGGAAATGAAGACTGGAGTGGGACCAGACAGGGAACTGAATGGCAGGTCAAGACAGTAATAAAAACTGATGAGAAAATTAAAAGATTTTGAGGTATGATGTGATCTGTCAGGGATTGGCAGCATGGAAAGAAGGGAAAAATTAGAAGGGACAAAATCAGACAGGTCTTTACAACCACCCAGCAAACCTAAGAGGCCCTCATGGAAACATTCCTCTCACCCTCCCAGCCTCAGGTAGTGCCTGTCCTCCATACTCCACAAGGTCCCCAGTTGTCTCTGTCAGCACACCCTCCACTGTGCCTACATAACCGGTGTTGTCCCACCAGACTCAGCCCCAGCTCTGCGTGTGAGGCACAGCTGAAGGTCAACAATTGCACATAATTTCTGGATTCCATTTTCAAAATGTGTTTTTATTCATTTTTAGAGAGAAAGGAAGGGAGAGGGGGAGAGAGAGGGAAACATTGATGAGAGAGAGGAACATCAATCAGCTGCCTCCTGACACGCACTCTGACCAGGGACTGGGCCTGCAACTTGGGCATGTGCCCTGATCGGGAATCAAACTGGCAACCGAACTGGCAACCTTTTGGTGCACAGGATGATGCTCAACCAACTGAGTCACACCAGCCAGGACTGGACTCCATTTTCAAATGCAGACCTGAGCTAGGAAATACCCAGACGGAGGCTGCCTGGCTTCCTTAATTGGAGACATTTGTTACAGTAGATTAGAAAAGCATATTGGACTTCATTTCAAATGGCATTTGATTCTTGGTGCCACGTGGTCATATGAGAACAATTGTAACTTTGAGTCACTGGGCATGAAGAAAGATTCGATAAATGTTGTGATCAGTGGATGAGGTATTGAAAGTCCTAAATACAGGAGTGAAGGTGAAATAGAGGTTACAAGAGAAGTGAGAAGTAGTGAGGAGCACCAAGAGCTGAACATCCAACAGGATTTGGCATGTAAGGAGACAGGAAAGGGCAGAGGTGATACCAGGTATGCAACCTAGGGAGTAGGAGGGCAAGGGGGCCTTTTAAAAGAAAACAGGAGAGTAAACTCTGAAGGGGAAGAAGAAAGCAGCTAAGTTCTGTCTTGCATCGCTGTCCTGAGTTTATGGTGTCCACAGAACCACTAGAAGATGAATACCATCAGTGGTAGGAAATTCGAAACTGGAGACAGTTTTAAACAAAGTATTTCTTATTGGTTGGTACAAAAGTTTTGAGTCATTATTTATAAGTTTATACCTAATGATGAAGACCTATCTTCACCTTTGTGCCAACAGACACCTGAATCAGAGCCTTCTTGCTAAATGCAATACTGCAACTATCAAGATGCTCGCAACGGGGAAAGACTGGCCATTTCCATATTATCTTCTCTGCAAATCAAATCATCAGGACCTTCACCTGATTCTGAATTACCTTTGTGTTAATATGAGCATCCAAAGAGGCAATAGCTCAGGGCTCAGATGCTGGAGTAAGGGTTCAAATACCCTGACAATTCGCAGCTATATCACTTAGGGCAGGGATTCCAACATCTCTAAGCCTCAGTTTCCTGGTCTGTAAAATATGTGTAGTAATAGTAATAGCCTCATAGAATTATTTTGATAATTAAGTGACATCACTCGCGTAAAGTGCTTTAGCATGGTGCCTGGCCCTCAGAAAACATTTACTACTGTCCAAGCGCCATACGATAAGAAATACAGCAAGAATTTCTCCATGAATAAAAACAATACATTGCAAAAGAAAAGGAATGGCATTTGTTCAGTTTTCATATATTTTTATAAAATTTAAGTTCAAATAAGGGGTGTTTTCCTTTATGAGCAAAGAATCTTTGTTAAATATTTTATTTAATGTCAACTATGCTAAATCAACAACTAATCAGAACATAATAAATTCACAAAACGGGATACAAATAAGAGTGGTACTTGCTTTTCTACCAAGTAAAGTAATTCCAAATCAGGGAGAGATGGAAGGCCTGCTGTGATACTGGTGGGAATGAATGATGTGAACATTTTAATGTACATTGTTACACCTACACTTATTTATCAAGGCTCTGTCTGTTGCATAGAAGAGGCCAGGTACAGTTTGTGCGACCTTAACTGGGTCCCTGTCTGCCCAGACAAAGCCCTTTAGTCTACCCTACTCTGGTTCAGCAAATATTAATGAGTGTCTATGAAGTACGGACCGCGCACTCGGCTAATGCTCAGTGTATAGATATAAAGACAGCGAGGCCGGCCGAGCGAGTAGGCACCGCGCTCTCAGGGCCTCTCTTCCCGCCCCACCCCTCCATCTGGGAACAGAAAGGAGGACAGCTGGAGGGGGTTCCCGGTGAACCCGCGGAGCCTCACCTCTCGCGCGGAGAGCGGCTCCCCTCACCCCCACAATGCCCCCTCCTCCACTGGTCCAGGCGGGGCAGCATCTTCACCCTGCGCGTCTGCCCCACCGGACGGCCAACGTCTCCATGGCAACCGTACACAAAGTACCTACCCGGGGCGCCTGCGGCCGAGGCGGGTCACTGCTGGGCAATCCCGAGGAGCGGGCCAGGGAAGGAGTTGGGAGTGGGCGCGGGAAAGGGGGCTTCTGGCCGGTCCGCAGCACCTGCGATTAGCGCGGGAGCAGTCCCAGCTGCGGGGCTTCAGTTCATTTCCAGTTTC